GCTGAACAGCATTCCAGCATGAACTAACCTCGTCCCTCACACTGATTTCCTAGCTGTTATTGCAACCTGCATCAATAAAAAGTACTTTTGAAAGCATAAGTGCACGTACTGTGGAACTTTTATGGGGCTGCAGCAGATTACTATCATGTGCTCTGCGAGGCCAGTGTCAGATAATTGAAATTGCTGAGATCACACACAGCCCACAAAAACAACTGTCTTGTGCGCTGGCGATCATCTAGCTGTGACAGAAAGCAAACAAGACCCTTGTAAGTGGGAGGAAAGGGTCGAGCTGGTGAGTTAAGTTTAAAGTGGTGACGGAGGAGGGAAGGGTGGAGGATGAGAGGAGAGACAGAGGAATGTTTTCAGCTGAAGGAGTGAGTGAGAGAGCGAGAGAGAGAGTGGCTAAAGGACTGCAGCAGAATGTGTTTTCATTTTAGGAAAGTATTATGAATGATGTGCATTTCCTGACTGCCAGCCTCAGCCTGTTTGAGAGAGAAACAAAGAGTGAGACAGAGCAAGGGAGGAATGTAATGAGAGAAGAGAGAAAGCGGTCTTCTTTTTGTGGACTGGGCAGGTTCTTAGTATGTAATGCAAAGAGGAGATGGTTACAGTAAGAGCCTCACGACACAGGAAGCCTAAGTGTGTGTGTGTGTGTGTGAGAGTGTACTGTGCACACTGTAAACCATCTAGACTCAGGAGACCAACTTCAAACACCCTTCATATTATACAGGCACAAATAAATACACACGGATACATTCACAAACACACACAGCGACACAAAGAGAGGAAAAAATAAACACCCACTTGCCCACACAAACATATGTATAACAAATGCAGCACACATGCACGCACTAAATCTTCCGCCCACACTCAAATGCACATTCACACATGTTTTATCACCTTTACATGGGCTGTGAATGCATCCTGTATCCCAAGGCTGAGGCGTCTACATAGGTAGAATGCAGAGACCTTAATTAAAGGACTTCTCCTGTCTCCTTGACAGTGCACCAGTGGTAATTAAGTGTCCTCTATGGAGATCTAATGTGATCATCTAAGAGGTGCTCATTAGCCAAACTGTATTCCAATAGAGATCTTGCATGTATAATAATGATGCTACTGTCTGGCATGGAAATAAAGTGCTAAGAGATGTGGCTGAGGGGGAACCATTAACAGCAGTGTCTTTGATTTATGGCAGGTGAGTGGCCGCGGCTTGTAAGAAGAAGCAGGTAATCAGAGATGGTGGCTTTTTAATATATACTGTTTGCATTTTCTCGTTATTAATGGTAGTGGATATTGCAGGGGTGTTTAGGATGAAGGGTATGTTGTGATCTGCTGAGCTGAAGAATTGGTCAAGTTGGTGTTTAGAATTTTTTTCAATTACAGTGAATGAGGTCATTTACAAACCGTGTTGGCCTTGGCATAGTTTGTCCAAGTTTATTTTTTAGCTGTGTCCTGCTAGTCATAATTTATTAGTAACCAAACTTAAGGGAATCTTATAAAACATCTACAGATCTTTTAAACCCTTAACTATTAATACTGGTATTGGCCTCAAAAATCCACTGCCAGGCTACAGTCTAAACACAAGCAGGATAAAAGATAAATTACTAGTCCAAATATAAAATTACATTTATTTAAAAATTCCAGATAGTGTGCATTAATGTATGTATTGTGTGTAGGATTGACTCAATAAATGATAATTTCTGTGTTCGTTGTAATGACAATGTCACTCAGTGCAACACTGGGGCTCACTGATGTGTTTTCAACAGGTCTGTGAAACGGAGGAATATCGGGTTTTGGTGACGCATATAATCTTTATGGTAGAATAATTTTTTAAATTGGCTTTTGTCTTTTCCTTCTGTTGACAGCTAGAAAAATATAGATGATCTCTAGACTTGTCTTTTAAATCAGGAGCTATGTGATGACAGAACGAATAAACAAGAAGACTATGAATGCAGTTTTTTGATGTCAGTTGCACCTACTTCACATTCTTTTACTTCAGTGCTTAATTTAAAAGAAAAACTTTAGAGGTTTATGCTGAGATATTTCAGGTTGACATTGAAGCCACAGCAGTGTCCTCTCACACAAGGAGAGGATCAGTCCAGTTTCCAAGGCAGCGGCCCCTGTCTTCTGCTGTGTGCCCTATGGAGCAGCTCCATCTGGTTGCTTCTCGCTAAACAGTCCAACCCCTACGCCCAACCTGTGCTTTTGGCTCTGTGCTCTTAGAGTTTTTACAGCTAGCACTGGCTTCACCTTGAGTCTGTGTGTCGGTGCCTCCCACTAATCTACCCCCGTCACTGCTGTGGGAATCTCTTGTCATTGCAACCAGACAGTGGCTCACCTGTGCGATCACAGCATTTTGTATGTCAGGGACACACAGGCAGATTGCTGAGATAGTTTTCTGCCATAACAAAATGACTTGAGACAAGCATTGTGGTTGGTTAGTCACTCACAGAACTAGGGCGGGTGTTGTGAACAGGAAGACAGGGTTTTCCTTGCTTGTGCCTCTGCTTTTACTACACATCTCTTTTCCAGTAAATTCTCCCGTGTGTAGTCATGGATCTTATCTGAGCAGTAGGCTTGTCAGGGCCCTGCTTCAGAGGTGAAGAGCAGTTCAAAGACGGACATGGGTGGGGGGAAAGCTGGGCGACAGGGACCCACCGCTGGTCCCAGAGCTGGAAACGGGATGGGATGGGCAGGGGTATTTTG